AAAATCAAATACTGAATATTCTCACTTATAAGTGGGAGCTAAATGATGAGTACACATGGATATAAAGATGAAAATAATGGACACTGGGTACTGCAAAAGGAGGATGTAGGGTGGGAGGAAGTGTTGAAAAACCACCTATGGGGTGCTGCATTCATATTTGGGTGATGGGTTCACTAGAAATCCAAACCCCACCCTTAAGCTGTGTACCCATCTAACAAAGTTACACATGTACCTCCTGAGTCTAAAATAAAAGTTGAAATTATTTTTAAGAAAACTACATTTTACAAGTGGATAGCAATTATTTATTAAGGGGATATATAAAGCTGCCTTTATATATAAGTCACAATAATGTTTTTATTCTGAATCTCTGACACATGATACTTATTGTCTATATTATTCATTTGCCATTTTAGCATGTATTTAGATGTTATCTTTCACTAAAATGTTAATTATAATTCCATTTTAATTTCACTTTCATATTGTTTATCTAATTTCTACTATTACATTTTAAAGTCATTCATTCATGACAGGAAAGAAATATCATCTTTATACTTCGAATTTTCTCATGGGACCTAGAATAATTAGTTAGTTGTAGTAGAAAGTTTAATAGGTGCTTATTTTTTATTGATAGGCTGAACCAAAGATTGGGTCAATATTGAAACCTAAGAAATTTCCAGTGAAATAGGCATAGCAGCAGCAATTGAATTGGACTTTTTTCTTTTTTTGGAAATGGTCCCAAACATCGTGAATGTTGAAATTTGTAAAAGTAGTTTTATTTCAAAGGGAATCTTCACTCTCTTTATGAAATGGAATTTTTGAGGGAAATTTGAAAACTTATATTTTTACTTTTGAGTCTAATCATCTGGATTAGAGTGATGACTCATGACAGATCAAATGGAAGGCTAATATATTGAAACTCAGAGGGTCTTCTTAGATTTCTGCAGGAACAATAGTAGATATCTGGATCAAACTCATTCATGTTAAGAAGATGAAACAACATATCAATGCAGGTATGTTCCTACTAAACACTTGCTATATACTCACATTCCTTTAAATATATATATTTATATATATATATTTCTATTTATATATTATATAGATATTTATGTATAATATATAAATATATGTTATATATATATATATTTAAAATTCCACCTTCCTATCTCCTGTAGCTCTAGGGATATAAAATAACATAGATGTTGTACTTTAGATAAGAAAACTTTATTAAACCACTTTGTTTAAAAAAGCTATGTGGTAAATTTCCTTGGGTATACAACAGTGGTCTCAAAAATCACCTATCACCTATCTATCTATCTGTCTTGCCATCAATCCATCTGTCAGTCCATCCAGATAGATGCCTTTCTTTGAGGAAGAAAGGCAACTTGCTATCCTTGCTCCCTCTTTCCTGTAAGTAAAAGTCATGGAATTCATGGAATAGCACTAGCACAAGCATCTGCCCCCCAAAATCAGTTATTTTTGTCATTAACCATAATCACTCTGACCTCCAAAACATTGCGGGGCATGTTGTTGGCTTCTATTTAAATATTAAACAAACTGAACAAATATTAAGCACAGATCTAGAACAAAAGAAGCCTATATTCCACGAATTTTCCATTTAAAAAATATGGGTGAGGTACTACTGAATTTATTTATACAAGTCAACTGTTAATCTTTGTAAAGAGCTTCCAAAGAAACAGAGATAAGAAAGTACATATGCAAATCACTCTGATATAAAGAACATGTTGATATGAGTAGGACATAGGATTAGAAATAATAAATGCTATAACATTTCAAAGAAGGAAAGTATCAACTCTAGTTTGGCTTATCAAACAAGATGTCTTAAAAAAAGTAGAATTTGAGCTGGGTATCAAAACTTGGTAGCATTTAGAAGTTAAATAGAAAATGGGGAACTATAAGCTGAGAAAATAACAGGGCCAAGTCACAAATATAGAAAATATAAGGGAATTTGAAGTCTTGAAAAACCTAGGCCTAAATTTTGCTGAATTCTAAGCATTAACAGATTTCCATGTTGAATAATTATTTTGAGTGTTGTTCACTGTAACTGATACCACACTCCATAACTCAGTTTCTAAACTTCTTGCTTACGGTCTTGCTCACTGATTTGTGTGTGTGTCATCAGCTGGCCTCACCAGCTTGATAACCTATTCCATCCCTTTTGTCTTATACTTTGGCTCCTGTTTCTGAGGAATTACCATCTTAAAACATTTATCCTTGAACTTCTTATGTTTACTGTCCCACTGCTCTGTGGCAACCTCACAGGCATGATGAAAGGGCACACGCCATGTTCAAAGAACACTAAATTGATTATTGAGAAGAGACATGTCCGTGGTCAAATCGTGACAAACAAAACTGAAAAGGGAAAACAGTAGAGGAGACTGAGTCAGACAGATTTTATTCAATAGGTCAGTATTACCTCTCAATTTTTTTGGCTATGCTTTTCTACTATATTGTACTTAGTCTTTCTTTAAGTTGGCTTATTTAAAAAATGTTGTAGTCATCTTGAGCAATATTAGCCATAAAAGTGTTTGACATGATAGTTAAACTTCTTATGAATGTTGTTAGAGATACATAACTACTAAATCCAATTACTTTTTTCCATTGTAACCAGTGTTATATGTCCCATTTTTTGCTAAATACTGTTACAAATTAATGGGCATCTATTAAAGCTTTAGCCAGATAATTTTAGCAAGATTAACTTTGTGGTGGTATATAAGAAGATTAGGGATGAGAAAACAGCAGTTTAGGAAAATATATAGTAATGAGTTAATAAAAACCTATACTGGAGTCTTACTAAAGGAATTAAAAAAAAACAACGTTAGAGAAAGTAAATAGGTCTTACTGATAATTTGAAGTAGTTGGTGAATGTAAAATGATGCTCCATGTTGAGTCTGGGTGCCTAGGAAAATGATGGTAAATCGATGTTGACTTGGGGGTCAGTTGCCTTGTGATGATAGCTGTAACCATAGGAGTAGCTGAAATCTCTAAGGGGAAGTATGCAGAAAGAAAATAGCAGAGGATTGAGGAGACAATCTTGAGGGAAAGTTTTATTTATTCTGTGAAAGAAGAAACAAGAGACAGCAATGGTGGTGAGGAAGGAACGATCAATGGTGTGTAAGGAAGGAATTGGTATAGTATGTTTATATGCACATTGAGAAAGAATGCCATTTCAAAGTGACATGGTAGGTAAAAATAGATCCAGTTATATTTTGTGAATATTTGACAGTGGCAAAAATTGTTTTTAAATTGGGCATGAAGATGAGAAGGAAAGGGATCTGGTGAGAACATAAAGACCTGATCAAACACAGAATCTGGAAAAGTTGGTAACAGGCAGTTTGTGATGAGGGTATCTGACTGAAGACAGCCTGATAAAGGGCCTTGGTTCAGGCGTAGCAGAACAGATAAGTGGAATAGGAAAAAGCTTGGCTTCAGTTGAGGAGGATATAGGGTCACGGAAATGTCTTTAGGTCAAGGATACCATCATGTTAGGAGTAAAATTGAGACTCAGTAACCAATATTAGTTTTCCAACGTGACTGGGATCAAAAACAGACAAAAGCCTATAAAATACATATCTTCGTCAATTTGATCTTGTGCTTGAATAGAAATAAGCTATCAGCATGATTTTGAACTACTGTGGATTTTGACTTTAAAAACAAACTGCTCTTAAATTCTCCAATCACTGAATATAGGTTGTGCCTGGTTATAAGGCATCAGTTAAAGACACACAGTGACAAGGAGATTTTATAGAGTGCCAGAGCCATGCTGAATTTATTTCTTTTAATTGTGTTCCATATTCCCCTTTTATGAGTATTCCCATATAAAATGTACATAATATTTAATGAATACAGGCCTATAAGAGCTCCTGAATTTAAATTCTAAGTAGACACATGAATAGAGTTCAATAAAATTACTTTATTGGTGTGAAGGAATGCACCCACAGATGCTTCCCTACTTCTTTGCAGTTTAATATTTTTTTTAATACAGAATCTGCTAGGGTAACAGAGTAATTAATGTTGCCTGTCTCACAAGCAAAGTCTACTCACCAAATTTACAGCTAAAAACGCAGCTCCAATCAATTCTTACTATGTCTTAACACCATGTTTTTCATCCCTATCCCTTTCTTTTGTTAATTAAATAAGATTTGTTATTTTCTGCCTTGCAATTCAAAGAGCTCACAGAACTTCCCTGGTTCAAAATTCAAAGGCTTCGTACTATTTTTGTATCGAAAACGAATCAGTTTAGTTTAGTAAGAGATTATGTGCAGAGAGTAATGATCTAATCAGAGACCTGAGGGCTTTGAAATATTAAGTTACATTTCTATTTCAAGTTAGTCTTATCATCTCTCCCCCCCTGCATTAAACTGGGATCAGAGTAGATAATGCCTTTTATAAAGGATTTAAATGACAAGAGATGATCACTCAGAAAGGCAAAGGTTTATAAACAGCATTTGTACAGACGTGTTAACTAACAAGTAAAAGTCCATTCGTGTATTTTAATAACATGTATTCAATTATCACTCACCTGGGCCAGACCATCTAGTCACTAAATGACAACAGCAGCACGTGTACTTGCCCATTTAACAAATATGACATGTGCCCTCTTCAACAGTTTTGTTCAATATCAAGTCTTCATGTGTCAGAGCATACTTTTAAGTCCCCTTAACTCCTTTGTCATTCATTTTGGGGTTCAGGCTACCCAATCTTGTCTGACCTTCAGTTTTTCTCCCAAGAGCTCTTGCCTGGACTTAACATTTTAATTTATTTTACCCATGAAGCCCATGTTCAGTGCCATGAAGCAAGATTCAAATTTTAAGTAGAATATCTACTGATGATACAGAAGTAAAATGGAAATAAATGCTCCTTGAAACTAAAAGGTACAGTCCTTTGAGTACTTCATGAAAAAAAGCCATTTCCTATATCATTCGCATTTAGCTAAAAGCATTTTGCTTAAATGCCTAAAAGTGTCTTGGGTGAAATAATATGAAAATCTTCTCCGAAACATTAGTGATTTAAAGCTGGCAATAAAATTAATTCTCCTTTAGCTGGCTGGTCCATCAGATCAGTTGAGCACACATGATACACAGAAATACAGCCATCTTGCCCCATCTGAGAGGAGGTGTTTTCAGCAAAGAGAACTGATATATGAACGTAGAGTTGGAATCAACCTTGTATAGCCTAGCAAGCCTGATTAGAACTTCCCGCTAGGTATTGTATGATGATAAGTTGCATCCCAGACATCTCTAAGTGGGACTAATGCAGAGGAAAATTTGAAACCTTGCAAATTTTTTGTCTATTTCAGTTTGTCTATCTCTGCAAGCTTGCTACTCGGTCTAGCATTCTTTCTTTGCCAGCTGTTTCTAATAGAGGAAAAATGGAAATTATTCCTTGTTGTAACCTAGTAATATTCATAGTAGGGAATAAAGACAGTGTCTGCCTCTTTGGGTCTGCTAAGAAAACCACATTTCATCCCTGTTGTTATTCAAAATGAGCATAGGTACTTCCTGCCTCATCCATTCCTGTTTCTCATTAGTCACTTCTTTCACACATTTGTTTGGTTTCTAACATTTTGCTCTTTTCCTCTGTTATATACCTAAGTTTTAGACCCAAAGTCAGACTTGATGTCTCCAGGTTTTCACTTGAACTGTCTGTTGGCTGTAGTTTGTGTTCACCCTTCGATTTAAGCAATTCACACAAAGACTAAACTCCCTTTTGAAAACCGCTTAGCTGGAAGTCCAGCTGAGGCACTCCAGCCCTCCTTTAATGTAGGGGGCCAGCAAACCACTGCCTGTGAGCCAAAGTGGGCAAGGCCTGTTTTCATAAATAAACGTTTTATTGAGATACAACCATGCATATTGATTTACATATAATTCATTGCTGATTTTATGCTACAGACTTAAGCAGTCGTAACAGAGACCACATGGCCTGCAAAACCGCTTTACAAAAAAAGTGCCCTAACCCTTTCTCCTAGGGAGTTTGGACAAGAAGGCACAGAGCTGACTTTTTTTTTTCTCTCAGTCTAGGGAGTTTATGTCATGTGTCCTCTAATAAACATTCCTAGGCCAAAAATGAGCTCCATTTTTTCTTAAAATAATTGTTAGATAATTTATATAGTTCTGTCATAGCTCTATTCCCTGTGTATTAGAATTACATGTTAGACTTCTAACAAGATTATTGTTACTCAATTATTGAGAAATTATTCATCATGTTAGTAAGAAAAACTAAGATTTCACTTCTCAATTGGCTTATAGTTAATTAAATGTAAGCCAATTCTTTTTTATCAGGAGTTTGGATGGAAAATTTTCTTTTTCTTTTTCTTTTTAAAAATGTGGAACAGAGGACAACTGGGGCCTGCATTTCTAATTGATGACAGTTGACTGCATTTCTAATTAATGACAGTGGTACTGACTAGCTGCCGTCCCCTGGAGCTAGGCCTGTACCTTCCACCAGGCCCTGGTCATCAGCATTCATAGCACAATGCATATGCCCTTACCATTCCAGCCCACTCATTGCTCCTGTGGGCTGCTGAGTGTGCAACTGCTCAGTGGGTTCACCTTGCCCACTGCCTGAAGAGAGTCGATTTAACAAGACAGGGGAATTATAATGGCAAAAAAGTAATTCATGCAAAGCCAGCTGTGTGGGAGACTGGAGTTTTGCTATTACTCAAATGAATCTCCCTGAGCATTCAGGGATCAGAGTTTTTAAAGACAATTTCGGAGGTAGGGGCTTAGGAAGTGAGGAATACTGATTGGTCTGGATTGAGATGGAATCATAGGGGGTCAAAATGAGGTTTTGTTGCTGTTATCTCTTTCTAGGTGGGATGGCAAAATTAGTTGAGCCAAATTACTGGTGTCAGCTGCAAGGGCTGCCAAATGTCTCAAGCACTGATCTTTGGTTTTACAATAGTGATGTTATCCCCAAGAGCAATTTGAGGAGGTTCAGACTCTTGGAGCCAGAGACTGCGCTACCCAGAAATTATAATTTCTAATTTTGGAGCTAATTTGTTAGTCCTACAAAGGCAAATTGGACCCCAGGCAAGAAGGGGTCTTTTCAGGAAAGGGCTATTACCAATTTTGTTTCAGAGTCAAACCATGAACTGTATTTCTTCCCAAAGTTAGTTAAGCCAATGATCGGGAATGAGCAAGGACAGCTTAAGAGTTAGAAGCAAGATAGATTTGGTTAGATCTGATTTCTTTCACTGTCATAACTTCCTCAGTTACAATTTTGCAAAGGCGGTTTCAAGTGTGGGACGATCTCTCTAGTTCTCAGCACTTCCTGAACAGGTGTAGAGCCACACTTGCCAGGACTATTGTTCTAAATGGATATTTTAAGGCAGTCCTGAGCCTCATTTCTATTTTACTTTTTGTGGTCACAGATAAGCTTAATATGCAACTTCCGATCAATCCAAGACACTATAAAGAAGAAGCTTGCCAAAGCCAGACCTCTGAAATATCAGACCTGTCTCTAACAGTCTTTAATTCTAATGAGAGAAAGAAAAAATAGGAACCAATAAAGTCAAACCAGTAAAGATGTGTTTTTTTAGCAGGCAGGATTGAATGGAAAACGGGAACATATAAACGTAAGTATTATGGCTGCAAAAGTCATAGAAAGCCTAGAAAGAATGAGAGCAGTTGTGCTGCCTGAGGCACCCCAAGATAAAGTACTCTCATCATTTTGAGTAAGAAAGGTATCATTCAGGGAATCAGTAGTGTTTATCTGATCTTTGCTTAATGGGAACAGTTCTGTGGTCTCCAGAAGGGTCACTGCCTGCTTCATCCGGTGGGCTTCCATCATTCCTTCCATACTTGTCAGCTTATCCATGTGGTTCTTGCATTGGTTTGGCTTAAGTAGGAATTGGGAGGAGGAGAGCAGGGTCAACTTTTTGCCAGCTTTGAATAAATATGCACTGTAAAACTGACAAAGGAAGACAAGAGGATTAGGCATGGGAAGAACTAGGAGGCATCAGAGATTTAGGAAAAAAAAAAAAGCAAGAGAGAACGCTTCTGACCTTCTGACTCAGCTTCAATAACGAATGTCCATGTTCTTTAACTGATTGGCAATAATGCCAAATCAAATACTCTCTCTCTCTCTGTCACAGACACACACACACACGCACACACACACACACACACACACACACACTTTTCTAAGAGCAGTACAAAACTAAATGCAGAAGAAAAAGATAACAGCTCTCAATGATAAACGATTTAATGGTTTGTCATTATCTTGCTTGAAATCAGAAGAGAGGATAAATAATACATAGACTGCTGATTTTTATCAGCATTTCGTCTATTTTTCTGTTTAAAGATTTTCCCTTGTTCATCAAATAATGCTATTATATTTTTACTATGTTAGGAGGTATATTCTTCATCCAATATGGAGAAATCCGCTATCCAATGAGTCTCAAAAGATAAGAATTTGTCCTTTTAAAAATAAAAAAATCTTGTCTCCTTCTGTTCTTATGTAATGTTCTTAGTATCTGTATATAGAACTAAGTTTTTCAAAACCTTTTATTTTATAATTACACTGTGCAATCATGTATATTTCATGCTGCACAAGTATCCTAGAATAAAGAATGAAATGCTATGTGAGGAAATTTATGTTATGAAATGTTATGAGTGAAATAATTAGATCTAGATAAGTCTTACATGGAAAATTGCTCATATTCTTTCTGCTTATATGTTTGTCCTTAAAAATGCCTTGTAAGACCTAACCACAGAAGAGCAATATGACTAAGGGAAGAGGAGCTGAGACCACACCCTGGGTTATTCTAATATTTGAAATTGATCTCTGGAGAAGAAACTACATAAGACACTGTTATAAAGAGGAAAACTGTGTGGTGTTGGTATCACAGAAGACAAGATTATGTCTCAAATGTTTCAAGAACAAAGAGTATTATCCTTTTTTGAATGGTACTGAAAGATTGAATAAGGACATGGATGTGACAGTATGTGGATTGTTATGGGCCATGGTAAAAGCAGCATCATTGAAATAGTTGGCTTACAAACCTTACTGGATGGATTAATAAGAGAAAAGGATGCAAGGGAGTAGAACATCTAGTCCAAAACCTTCTTCAACAGTGTTTTTTAGGCTTTCTTCCAGGATTTTTATAGTTTTAGATTTTACATTTTAGTGTTTAATTCATCTTGAGTTGATTTTTGAATATGGTGTAATAAAATAAAGAGCTTCTGCACAGCAAAAGAAACCATCAGCAGAGTGTATGGACAAGCTACAGAATGGGGGGAAGTTGTTGCAAATCATGCGTCTGACAAAGAACTTGTATCCAGAATCTATAAGCAACTGAAACAAATTTACAAAAAAAAGACAACCCCATTAGAAAGTGGGCAAAAGACATGAACAGACACTTTTCAAAAGAAGACATGCATATGGCCAACGAGCTTATGAAAAAATTCTCAACATCACTAATCATTACAAATGCAAAACAAAATTATAATGAGATATGCTCTCAGACCAGTCGAATGGCTATTACTAAAAAGTCAAATAAGTGATGCTGGCAAGGCTGCAGAAAAAAGGGAATGCTTATACACTGCAGGTGGAAATATAAATTAGTTCAGCCATTGTGAAAAGCAGTTTGGTGATTTATCAAATAATTTAAAACAGAACTAATGATGGAAACCAGCAATCCCATTATTGGTATATACCCAAAAGAATATAAATTATTCTACTATAAAGACACACGCATGTGTATGTTAACTGCAACATTCTTCACAATAATAAATACATGGAATTAACCTACATGCCCATCAATGGTAGACTAAAGAAAATGTGCTGCATATACACCATGGAATATTACATAGCCATAAAAAAAGAACAAGATCATGTCCTTTACAGCAACATGGATACAGTTGGTTGCCATTATCTTAAGTGAACTAATGCAGAAAAAGAAAAGCAAATAATGCATTTTCTTAAAAGTGAAAGCTAAACATTGTGTACACAAGTACATAAAGAAGGGAACACCAGAAACCAGGGCCTACTGGAAGGTAGAGGGTGGAAGTAGGGTGAGGATCAAAAAATTACCTATGGGTGACTATGCTTACTACTTGGGTGATGAAACAATCTGTATACGGACCTCTGTGATACACAACTTATGTATATAACAAACCTGTACACGTACCACTGAACCTAAATAAAAGTTAAAAAAATAGATTTTGTTGTGAAGGACAGCATGGACATGGGACATAGAATGAGAGCAAGAAAAGTTAAAGACTTTTCTCCTCATTAGAAAATTACTGGAGCATTTTTGTATCCTGAAGGGCATGAACCATTAAAGATAAATAATAATGCAACAAATTAAAGGTGATAATTGAATAAAACAGTTCTTATGAAGGCAGGGAGGGGTGGAATCCAGGACAAAAGTAAAGGAGTTGTCCTTTAAAGAAGGACAAGAAAACTGTCGTAACTGGAGGGAAGTCAGAGAGAATGGGTGTAGATCCAAGTAACTTAAGAGATTTGACAATCATTTGATTGCTTTTATTTTTTTTTCCTAGTGATTCAAGAAGCAAGCTAAGAAAGTATTGGGAGTTTGAAGACAGATGAAGAAATGTGAAATATTGATTTTGAAGAGTAGTACTATTGGGTAGACTTGGGGGCTAATTTGAAACTAGTAAAGGTAGACCAATGATCCAGCTTTACACGAATGTAAAGGTAAACCAATGATCAATTTTATCACCTTGAATTTGGGTTGCAGACAACAACTAGGTTGATGATAGATTTAATCAGATTTAGAAATTTATTTGTAAGGACATCTCTTTTAATTACCTTTTCTAGATAGAGTTATTTGTAGCTTGAAAATCTGGTTTTGTGAAAACATAGGAAGATAGAAAACAAGAATTAACCCAAGTGGAAGTTAGGGTAATTATGTTCACAGAGGGCCTTGCTATTGAACATTAAGATGGCTACATTAGGAAAAGAGACTATCCTAGTCGGGCTTTTATCCATTTTATCACCATGTGTATACAGACACAGTGTCTCTAACTTGGTTTTAAAATATAGAAAACATACATGTTCATTTCCTATGAGTGGAAGTGAACAGAAGTAATAAAACTAATGTGATTTAAATTCAAAGATGAGGTGAAAGGTGCAGTTCTTTTAGAGGATGGTGAATCTTGGCTCAGGCTTTTAAATAGAATGTCTTAGGTCAGGTTTCAGAAGCAGACTCTGAAACAAGAATTTATATGTAAGTGACTTCTTAAAGAAAATGCCTTCTAAATATCTGTATAGTAATCCACTCCATGAATAAAGCAATTCATCCTTTTTTGGATTCTCAAGTAATCTCTAAACAGGAGGAATAATGGGCTAGGCCAAAGAGTAAAGAATAGGTGATTGGTACTAGCCTGCTCAGGTACTTAAGAATGTTTCATGAGTTATTTGCCCCTCAACAATTTCAGCAAACTTTGATATCTCCTCCGAGGAAACCTTGTGTCATATGATCAATGGATATGGGAAGGTTAGTGTTTCTTTAAGTGGGAGTTGAAGTAATATTAATTAATTGCTGCTATAGCCTTTCAATTTCTCAGGCAGAAAATGTAAATCCTCCCTGCCACTTCTCTTTTTCCCTTCATAACTTTTATCCAATATGCCAGGAAATTCTATGGTCTACATCTATAACACAATCCAGTACTTCTCACCTATATCCATTGCTACTGTTTTGTTTAATTCACTGTTACTCTGGACCTGAATTTTTTTAATAGTTTCCAACTGATCTCCTTGCTCCCATCTATTCTTAATACATAGCCAGAGTGATTCTCTTAAAAATGTAAGTCAGCCCGTGTCACAGTTGTGTTCAAATGATCCAATGCTTTTTCGTCATCCTCAACCAAAGTTCTTACCATGACCCTCTCAGCTCTAGATGATCTGGCACTCTGTTGATTATCTGACCTTGTCACTTACATAATCTCTGTCTTATCCAGCCTAATGCAGGCTCACCAAACTTCTCACTATTCTTCAAACACAGCACATATGTTTCCTCTGCATATATCCTCTGTACTGTTTCTTTGGACTAGAAATATAATTCACCTGATATTCATGTGTCAGTATTTACTCATTCATCTTTTTCAAATGTTTGCTCAGTTTTAAATTTAAAATATCTCTTTCCTTTCTTCACATACACTTCTTACCCTTGAAACTCCTGCCTAACCATCCATATAACCCATGTCTTCTACGTACTCTATCTCCTTTGCTTATTGTTTGTTGTCTATTTTCCCTCTAGAGTGCTAGCCTCTTGTGGGCAGACTGTTTTTTCTATACTGTGTAATATATTCAAGGTATTTGGAATATAACAAGCTCAAAAGAATGCTTGTTGAATAAATTAATGAAAACATTTTGGTATCTGTATAGTATTCCACTATGTGAATAAAGCAAATCATCCTTTCTTGAATTCTCAAGTAATGGTAATAAGCGAACTCGGACATAAATATGTCTACCTCTAATTACCGCAATGGTTTATGTAGAGGACACTCTGAGTACTCTGCTCAGATCAGCCTTGCATCCCTTCAGTGCATTCTGTGTGCCCCTTTTCATCTCCATTGTGCTTTTGCTTCCACTGCTTGCACTGTGACTTTTCTGAGATCTGCCCTGGGGCCCCAGAGGCTGCCTTGCATACATGCAGCAAATTGCGGAAAGCACCCTTAGTGAACAACGGACTGATGTAGACACAGTGTGTGAAAGCCCAGATCCTTTGCCACAGATCAGGACAGACTTTGAGACCTAATTTATACCACAGAGTGCACTTGTGTCATCAGGCTACTGCCACCTATGGTGGGACATTGCCTGATTTTGCATTCTTGCTTGGACTTGGACTTTCTCTTCTGTTTCACTTCTCTTGTATTTTTAGTTTCTCCCGGGGCATTTTCTTTTTTTTTTTTTTTTTTTTTTACCTTTTTTTTAAAATTATACTTTAAGTTGTGATATACATGTGCAGAACGTGCAAGTTTGTTAAATAGGTATACACGTGCCATGGTGGTTTGAGGCACCCATCAACCCATCATCTACATTAGGTATTTCTCCTAATGCTATCCCTCCCCCAGCCCCCGACCCCTGCGAGGCCTCTCCTGGGGCATTTTCTTTAAGAAATCACTTACATATAAATTCTTGTTTCAGAGGCTGCTTCTGAAGCCTGACCAAAGGCAATCTATCTAAAAGCCTGATCCAAGATAGTCTTTCTAATTGAAATACTTCTAGAAAAATGATTGTTGGATAAGGTAGAATTTACATTTTACAAATTCTTGACCAAACACTAACTTCTAATGAAGCTTCAGCTTCAGGGAAAATAAATAAACAGAATTATATAATGTCTACTTTATTTGGTTGAGAAAAGCATAAGCAGTATATCTGGTATCTAAAACATTACGGATTCCTAATGATTTACAGTTTCTCAGAAAGAAGTCTCTCCTGACTTTTGAATCCAAAAGATTTTTCTGTACAGGTTTCTCTAATTTTTTATTAAAGAAAAACGTTTGGCAATAACACACACACACACACACACCCTCTCTTCTGGTCTCTCCTTGTGAAGACTTTATACCTAATTACAGAAATGAAATGTACCCATATGAGTAAATTTAAGCAAATCATAATAAGTTTATCATTATAATTGTCTAGCCCTAAAAGATGACCAAAAGCAGCATTGTTGGGGACATAGTTCTTGTCCCAAGTATTTGCCCCAAGTAGAGGAGAGTAGCCAAAGGATCAATAAAGAATCATTTATGCGTGGGCTAAGTCGCTGATCAGGAAGACATATTTGGGTAATCACAACTTCTCATTTTTGAAAACTGAAGGGGAGAAAAGGGGATTATTATTGCATTTCTCTGGATGATACCCAATTTATAATTTTTTAAACACCTTTGTAGCTGCAGTTATCTTTTTGCAGGTAAGCGAGTTGATGGAGCAAAGGGAATGATACTGTGCTAGCTTTTCCCTAAATAAGAATACTTACAGCATTTTTTGTAACTCACTTCTTCACACACTGGGTGAGAATAAAGTTGAATAGCTGTTAAATGGAGAAAACAAGAACACCTTAGCTGCATTAATGAGAATGTTTCCTTTAAAAAAGTTTACAATTACTTTCATACTGACTTTCCAAAACCAAATCTACTTCCTGTTCACTAAATATTAGAGAAAAGTACATGTCTATGATTAAAGTAAGAAGCCCCTTTCCCTTTGTTTGTGCTTCACATATCTCCATTTGTTTTTCAATGAGAACCACAGCTTTGAAAGCACAGAATACATGAAATATCCCTTTTTAAACTTCTTTGACTAGAACTGTTCATTCAATATAACAAGGCAATTGAGAAATATTTAACTAAAAGTTCTGAAATAATCAGCAATATGTTTAAAAATTTTAACCATTAATTCAACTCATTAATCCTCATTTAAATTCTTGTGTTTTAAATTAATTTACCCAAGGCCATAATACATTGAGCAAACGTCTACTGATATGCTTCTATAACAGTTCAACAATGTGTGTTTGAATGTCCCTTCTCCCTCATCCTTCTCCCCTTCTCTCTGCCATTGACTAGTTATGTCACTTTGGGCAGGATACTGCAAATCTCTTTGTGCCTCAGTTTCCTCAGTTCTACAATGGAAAAATTAATAGTACAATTACTGTGAGGATTTACTCAGTTTTAGGACTTATATTGATGAAACTCTTAACTTCTATCTCTAAATTACTTACAAAGGGTTTGGTTATCTCTAAAGAGACTCTGGAAGCTAATGGCCAAGAGAGATGGAGAGAGACTAAGGAAGGAAGAAAGAGAGCAGGACTTTCACAATTCTTCTAATAATTCCTAAAAGAGTCTTACCATTTTAGGAGTTTAGGAGCTTTTATCATGTCCCTACTTATGCTCCAAGATCTTCTGAATTCCCCATTTCCCATAAGTTAAATATAAAGTTATAGGCTGATATTCAAGGATTATCTGAAATACTGACTCCACCTGTCTTTCGGCCCTTCTTATTGTCACTTTCCTGTGCTTCACCCCACTAGATTACTTACTGTGAAAAATTCTGAATTTTTCCAACTTTGCATTCACTTCTTGCCATATTCTTCCTGGCATGCTCTTCCTGAACATCTTTGACTATTAAAATCTTACTTATATTTCAGAGCTCATCCTAGATTCTCTCTTAAAGGGGTACAAAGCCTACGGCATTTACATACACCCACATTCATTTCCTGTCCTCTTCCCCAGTTTCCTCAGTAAACACAAGTGAATTAATTACAAGTTCTTCATCAGTTGAACTTCATTGCAATTTGTGCCTATATCTTTTTGCCATTCTGCAACTATGTCTTTGTGATGTAGTCATTTATATTCTTCTCTATTAAGTTAAAAGCTACTTGAAATAGAAATGATGCTTACTCAATATTATTCATGTTTTCTTAGAAATTCCTACCCCAGTGTCTTGTAACAATTAAGACTATAGTACATATTAGACAATTAAAATTTAATTGAGTCATTTATCTCAATCAGCAATTTAGAGTACAACACAACCCACATCCACCATTTATCTGTAATTTACCAACTTCATAAACTGAAAACTTAGTTTGTATCTTCCACCTCCTTACCATTTGCCCATGTGCTCAGCATTAGGTGCTGTCTGCATATAAGTTGCCAGAAGGGAAGAAAGACTTTGATTATAGTTGTCATTTTTTCTCTTTGTTGCCTTCCATGGGGTTTGTTTTCCACTTCTGGTAGAATGAGGCATTCTACCAGCAGTCACATACCCAGCTAATGTTTACATTTATAATTATTCATGTCGTTAGCAAATCTGCATCACCTCTCATTAGAATAAGCCAAAATGTTCATACTGAAATAGAACAACAAAACCAATAAAACATCACATATGATCTACTAAAATAATCTGATAAGAGCAGAGGGGATTTAACTTCAAAAGGAGAAAGACAACTGAAGTTAAAACAATTCTGCCAGGTTATCATGTTGCCTTTAGTAATTTGTTTGAAGACAGTTCAGGCTCTGAAGTTGATGGTATGGAAAATGAAGTGAGAATTAATCATGGGAGGATGTCATGGTGCTGGGGAGAATAGAAACCAAGAGGTAATTGACGTTTTTTCAAAGGGCTTCAGATTAAACCCACAGGGAGTTTGTAGAATTGTAACCAAAACCTGATAGTAATAGTGACATATCTTTGAAAATATTTTATCATCCTTGCTATCTGGAACTTGGGAATTGTGTGCTTCCAGACTCTCCAGGAACTATGGTACTTCAAGGAAGAAAGAATGAATTTTTTTTTAGCTGCTTATAAAGTTTTTTAGTGATGTAAAGAGGTGACTTTACTAATTCATTTACTCATTCTTTCTAGAGATGTGTCATGAGAGTCTACTATATTCCTGGCTCTCTTCTAGGTGCTGAAGGACACAAAAATAAACAAAATAAATAAACCTCTCTACTGAAATGAACTTCCCATCTAATGAAAGGAGACAGAAACACAGTATAAATAAAATATACAATATGTTAGATGGCAGATACTACCAAAGACAGCTCTCAGAGAATATGACATTTAAGCAGATATCTGAGAAAAGTAAAGAGAAAACCCATTTGCATAACTAAGAGAAGAAAATTGTCTGCCCAAGTAGTATTAAGGATCTAAGGAGTGAATGTGATTGGGATGTAAAAGAAAAGGCAAAAAGGCTATTCTGACTGGAAGAGAATAAGCAAGAAGATAAATAGGAGGTGAGGCTAAAGACATAAGACAAAGAAACAGGGTCTTACAGGTCACTGTTGGGACACTAGCCCTAGTCTGATTGATATGAGAAGCGAGGAAAATTTTGACCAGATGAGTGACATAACATTTTAAATTGGTTTATATGTTAGCAGAATCACTGCTTTGCAGTGAAAGGGAACAAGCCTGATTATAAAGTTACTGGAATAATCTAGGGAAGAAAGGAGGTAGCTTGCACCTGCTTTGTATTAGAAGGGGTGGGAAGTAGTTGAAGTCTGGATTTATTGATGGGTCTGATGGATAGGTGGGAAAAAGCATTCATGGATGATTACCAACTTTTAGTTTGAACAATTAGTGGTGTCAGTAAATGGACTTTCAATTTATTGAGATAAGGAACATGTGGAGATGAAGGTGCAATGAGTTTGAATGTAAGAAAGTGCTTAAGTGATATCCATGTGGTAGGAATGCCTTGGGTTTATACATAGAACTGCAAATAATTTAGCTTACATGAAGCATAGTGACTATGAAAGGAAATACGGGGGAAGAGATAGACTAGGACTATGTTCCATAGGTTATAGGGCTACGCTGGTTCTGAGAAAGGCTTTTGAGTGTCCTTTATAATTTCCTGGACAGCTAAGCCTGTTTATCTTCAATATAAGAGTTCCACATGTGAGTTGTCCGTTCAAACCTCCAAGGTCACGCCTTAACCTCAAGGTGAATCTTCTCATACCCTTTTAAAAGACTCCAGGGGCTCAGCCTGCTTTGCATCACTGCCCTTCAAATTGCTTTTCTCTGAAGATTGACTGTGGAAAGGAAGTGGCACCCCAGCTTTTGACTCCATGATGTTATTATCAGATAAAGAGGAGGTATCCCACATTTCAGTGTTAATTAATATGGTGAACTAGCTAGGAGACAAAACAGAACAAAAACCCATAAATTCGAGCTAAAGAAATCTTACAAAGCTGTTCTAGGTTGGTCTCTTCTCTTTAGTTTTGACTCTTTTATGAGATAGCTGGAAGTTAATTGTTGAGAACATTTGCCTCCCCAATTTCCACATTGACTTGAGATGTTTGGCTCTAACTCCATCATCTACTTCCCCTTTTAGCATTCATGAAAAATAATGATTCTGTTGAATAAAGTGCTTTCCCAAATAACAGGGACACGTAACAAGAACTGGAAGCCAGTCCCACATACCCCTGGCTATTTGAAAAAGTTGGGTTTCAGAGTCAAAAGCCTCTAGCAGAGCAAGGCTAGCTGCTCAGCTAATGTGTATAGGGTCCAAATTCAACACCCTCTTTATTATTTTAAAACACAGTAAACGGACTAGACTCAGAGAATGTTTCTTAAATAAATGCACTGAGAGTTGAAGCTTAACCACAGGCTTTTGGCAATTTGTGATTTTTAAAAACTTATTCATTCAAGTAGGTGGAATAGTATAAAGCTTGCTGCTTTCAAAAGCAGTAGAATCTGCCAAAATGTAAAGTCAAGGCAATGAAAGGTAATAGTCTTAGAGTTGAAGTACCATTATTGTTAGGAGAAAATAATTGTTTACTTTTACTTTTCATTCTGGGTCTGTCTCTGCTGTTAACTTAATATATGACCTTAGTCCAGGCAATTGAGCTCCCTCGCTTTCATCATCTTTTGAACTACAATAATAGCAACAATTTTCCTTTTAAGGCAGGTTAGGAAGAATAGCTGCTTATGATAAAGAACACTCTGTTACTGAAGCACTGCTTACATGATTTTTTATGAATATTTTTCAAGAAACGCTCTGAATTATAAGCATTCAGATTTGGCCTCGAAGGAACCTCTTAAGCTGCCTGTGGTTCAGGAGCTGAATCTGACTTAACCACATCATCTAAGTTTTTTTTTGTTTGTTTGTTCACTTTTGTTGTCTCAGCTACAGCAAATAATCATGTGGGTGAATAATCATGTTCACTGAAAGAAAGAGGACAGGAGTGAGTCTGAGATGGGTTCTAGATTTCACCTAGTTGCAAACCATTCCTTTTTCAAGTCTTTAATAATGGAGAAATTTAATATGATCTCTCATTTTTCTCAGAGCACTGTCCACATCTCCTCTCATTATTATATTTTTCATGTAATAATAGCTGCTAAATGCAATAGCAGTAAGTAAAGTTTCATGAGCAGTCACTATGGCCCAGTGCTTTACATGTATTAATCCTCATAGCAATTGCACTATTTTTTCATTGTAGAGCTGAGGAAACTGAGGCACAAAGAGATGAAATAACTTGCCCAAGGTGGCATAGAAAGTACAGAAAGAGAATGGGAGAGATGTATAAAAAATGCTTGCTCTTTCCTCTTATTCATTTTGACAAAAATATTAATTTTGTGGTATATATTAATTGTTAATTCATCCATCTATTCATTTGTCTGTGTTTTATGGTCAGTATCTTAATATCTTTTGCACTTGAGCATATTGTAAGGCCGGTTGCCTTGCTGGGAGTCAGACACATTCATCACTCTCCGCACCTGATAACTGCATCATCACCTGAGCTCATTATCTGGCTTCCCCACAAAGCTTCCCTGCACCCGCCTCTGCATACCATGCCCAAGCCCACACTCAGCACTAAATTATACATCCAACCTCCAGCCCGCTGTTAAAAAACCCTGCAGAGAATTTTTTTTTTTTCAGAAGCGGCGCCATTCCCTGCCCAGCAACAGCCTGCCCCTTACACTCCCGGCAGGCCCACTTACCCAAGGTCCTGCCCGCCTACCAATGGCAGCTAGTTTCATGTACTTCCTACTTTAACTCCACGTACTTCCTGCTCCTCAACAGCCAATAGAAATGACTTCTCTTTGTTTCCCCAGTAGTCAATCAAGGCCCACTTACCCAAGGTCCCGCCTACCAATGGCAGCTAGTTTCATGTACTTCCTATTTAACTCCATGTACTTCCTGCTCCTCAACAGCCAATAGAAATGCCTTCTCTTTATTTCCCCAGTAACCAATCAATTGCCTGCACTCCCCATAAAACCCCACTCCCTGAACAGCCAGGTGCGACTTCTCTGGCCCCCACTTGGGCCACAGAAGCTTGCCCGGGAGCTGAATAAATCGGCTTCTCACTTTTTTATACTTGCCTCAGTTTCCTCATTTTACCTCTGCAATAAATCTTACACATATGACAAGTATTCTGCTAAGCACTCTGCAGAGTTATTTCATTGAATCTTTACCACAGTTCTGTTAAGAAGAATCCTACATTTGTCTTCATTTTATGGAAACAGAAATAGACTTAGCAAGGTCAGATAAATTATTCAAGGTCATAAAGATAAAATCTTGTGTTATATGACTGCTGTGAAGTGCTGAGAAACATTAGTACTTTTCTTTCTTTACCAGAGTACTGACATATTTGTTATATTGGATTAAAAACACAGAGGTTGCAAACTTCTCATGGGATAGAGTCATGTCACATATTCCTGTAACATTTTGTATGTGCCTTCAGTATATGCAGAGGAAAACTTGCTAATCGAGTTACATAGTAATTAAGGACAACAATTTCATTAAATGTCTAAACAATTTCCTTAACTTCTAGGATGCTTAATGTAATTTATCATTTAAACCATGACACTTCTGAAAGTGGAATGGTGTTCCAATTCACAGAGGGCACTGGCTTTAACTGGAACTGTTGTGAGCTGACCCAGATATATAGTTATCCTATGAATATCCCATAACTAATTGGTGAATGAGTTTTCAGAACCTGAACATTTTATATAGAAAGAAATAGTAGAAAAATGTTATTTCAACACCTCTACTATTCCTTTCTCGACAGCACAAAATCTTCCCCTTTTTCCTTGGCAGAAGCAGAAATGGAGTGTATTAAGCTGTTCATAGATACTTCTTGCATCTTTGTAACTTAACATTTGTAAAAGCTAGCATATGTACCAGCCAAATAATTTCTAGATTTAAACTAAAGAGTGGATAAAAGTGTGCACCCTGCCTGAGGTTTCTGAAATATCAAGCATTTGATAAACGGATATTACCTTTATATAATGATTGCAATTTTTAGCCTTCATTTTTATATTACATACACACCACACACGCATGTACACACACACACAATTATAATCAGCTAGGGAATGATAAATATGTGTGTGCAAATGGAGTGATTACAAATTAAATAAACCTGAAATAATTTATAAACTGCAACACTTAATTCAAGCGTGTGTATGTGTACATATACACACACACATATATATTATGTATAGTATGCATATATATACTATATATACTAATATATATTCCATATAGTATGCATATATATACTATATACACACAATATATATATGCATACTATATGTAATATATATAT